AAAAAAAAAAAAAAAAAAAAAAAAAAAAAAGAATCCAAAGATCACCTTGTTCTGAGCAGCATCTGGGATCCGAACAGCAAACAGCTCATGGTTGCCGGTCCCTGCCAAGGCGGCTGTTTCTGCAGCAGACCTGTATTTTTCTCCCTCTGACGTATCCTAATGCCACTGGGGGAGGGGGAGAAAGGTCCAGTTTCAGGTTAAAAAGAAAGCAGCTGTCCCTGAAGCTGAAGGGGGAATTCAACATCAGCGTCCAGAGTGAGCCAGAAAGGCCTGGTCAAGGCCGGGGACGATATAAGGAAAATTCAGTCCAAACTCACTGTCCAAAAATTTGTAATCCATTGTCTGGACAAACGTGTGAACAACAGTAAAACAGAGGCTGGGTGTGGTTAGTATGCCTATGATCCCAGCATTCAGGAGGCTGAGGCAGGAGGATCGCTGGGAATTTGAGGCCAGCCTGGACTACTTAGTAAGTTCAAAGCCAGTTTGAACTGCATAGCGAGACTCTGTTTCAAGAAACCAAACCCAGAGTGCAGGAGGCCCATGGTGACGGCTATTTTATGATCTAATAGTCTGGGACAGGAGACAGATCGCAGCCCGGGAACATCCATCTCTCAGGCTCTCACTACTAAGTATTCTTGACCTTCAAAGAGCAGGCAGAAATGGTCTTCCATTCCAGGACTCTGTCCTCTTTCCCTGGAGATTTTCCACCTGCCAGGCATCTACCTAGCTGCCTCTTCTCTTCCTGCCCGCCTGCCCTTCCCAAACGAACGCCAAAGCCGGGGCCCAGCAAGGCCCGGAAGCTCCCGCAGCCCCCACGGCTGCCTGCACACCGTTACCAGCAGGGACTCAGCCCGGGCCCTCATTCCCAGCGCACTGATCTCAAGCGTGCACGGTAGGCACCGCGCTGAGCAAGGGGTCCTGCGGGTAGGGTTCTTACTACTGTTAGGACAGAGGAGGACAGCGGAGGACCGGCTGGAGTGGAGGAACTGCATAAGCTGGGGGCGGAGGGATTAGCTCAGGCATGGAGGGAGGCCCTGGGTTTGAACCCTAGCACCACAAAAAAGAAAAGAAGAAGGAAGGGAGGGAGGGAGGGATGAAGGGAGGGGAAAAAGAACAAAGAAGAAAATGGAAAGCAAGCAAGCTGGGTGTGGTGACCCACACCTGTAATCCCAGCACCGGCAAGGCTGAGGCAGGAGGGTGCGTTGAGTTCAAATTCATGGCCAATTTGAAGTACACAGAGACTTTATCTCAAAAAGAGAGAGAGAGAGAGAGAGAGAGAGAGAGAGAGAGAGAAGAGAAAAAGGAGAAAATTGTCTAAGTTTGTACCTTGAAACTAGCATTTAAACCACAGCAGGAGCACGGGTGGGTACGTTACTTGCCTCACCTGTGTTCCTTTAACCCTTGCCAGAACCTGACAAGAACAGTACTGTTTTGTTTTGTTTTGATTTTGTGAGACAGGGTCTCGCTATTCCTTCAGGCTGGCCTCAAACTCACAGCAATCCTCCTGCCTCAGCCTCCGAGTGCTGTGTGTCGTGTGTTTGTTTGTTTGTGACAGGGTCTCACTATGTCATTCACGCTGGCCTCGAGCTCACTGTGTAGCCCCGGCTGGGCTTGAACTCCCCGCAGTCCTCCTGCCTTAGCGTTACGGCTGTGTCTAGATTCTCCCCTAACCCTCATGCGGTCATAGGTGGGGCTTTTTCAGAGGCAGCTGTGAGGCAGAAGTCTAGACTCAAGGGTGCCAGAGTAAGGGTGTGAGTGCTGCCTGGAGAAGACTCAGGGGTTGAAAGACGCTGTTAAGGCCCTTGTCTTTGTTGCTTTTGCTTTTGAACTGCTGTCCCTCTGCCAAGCCACACTGCCTTAGGCCAGCTATGGACCAAACTTTCTCCAAACTGTGAGCTAAAGGAACCTCTGCCCCTTTAACTCTGGGTGCCAGGTATTTTGTCTCAGCAAGAAGAGAAAAGTCACTAAGTCACTCAGCCTCCTGAGGGCTGGGATGACAGCTCTGCACCACCACGCCCGGCAAGAGCAGTGCTCTCGTCCTCCCCACTTTACAGATGAGTAAACTGAGGCAGGGGTGAAGCCTCATCACACAGCGAATCTGTGGAGCCGTAATTTGAACCCAGGACATCTGGCTGCTGACTGCAGCTGGAGGAAGCAGGGGGCTGGGGCAGAGTAGCTGCTTTATGGATGGAAGTCAGAGCTCCCTGTGGGGGAGGGGCGACAGGAGCAGGAGCAGGAGCTGGAGGTGTGCAAGTCCCAGGGAGAGCAGGAGCAAGGGCCCTGGGGCAGGCACGTGCTAGTGGAGATACGGCTGTGCCCTGTCCCTGCTGCTGGAGACTGGGGGTCACCTCTTCAGCCCTTTTCTTCCCTCTGCGGAGCTCTCAGGAGACAGGAGGCCCAGTGAGGGCTCGATTCCCTCCTGAAATCCACTGGGCAGTCACGAAGTCCTGGACAGCAGGGGCCAGTCCTGTCGCCTTGGCTGTTCAGCAGAGACCTCTCCCACAGTGGGGTTGCGACAGCCCTGGGGAAAGTCTTTCCTCCACTTCCAGGAAAACCACAGACCCTACAACTTCCACCTTCCCTCCTAGTTCTCCTTGTTACTCCTTTGTGGCGGGGGGGATTGAACCCAGGCTATGCTGAGCTCCATCCCCAGCATTTTGTTTTATGTGTGGAGACAGGGTCTCTCTAAGCTTCCCAGGATGCTCTGCAACTTGAGGCCCTCCTGCCTCAGCCTCCTGAATGGCTGGCATTACAAACACAGTGCCACCACGCCAACCTTACTTCCCTCCCCGCATCCTCCCCTTTTCAGTGACACCTCTGGAAAGCAGACCTGTTCCTGTCCCTCCCCTCTCAGAGCCTTTCCATGGCTCCACGGCTCCCTGGGCCACTCCAAATAAAGCCCAGGCTCCCGAGTTTGGTTTAAAAAAAAAAAAAAAAATTGTCCCCTCAGGATCAAGATGCAGAGCAGCATGGGAGAAACAGAAATCAAGGGGAAAGGGAAACCCAAGGGGGAGAAGCACACGCGCCTGCACCAAGGCTGACCCCAGAGGTGTAAGTAGAATGGAACCGGGCTAACTTGGCTTCACAGCTATTCCTGAAAAACAAGCCCCAGCTATCCCGGGGGCTCTGACAGCCATTAACTCAGTCTCGGACGGCACTGAGACATCACTGCCCGCCCAGAGAGGGACGAGGGGCCAGGCCTGGCCTGGGGACCTCCAGACTCGTGCAGTGCCACCTGCTCACTGGAATGTGCCCAGACGAGAGGCTGCGTCCACCAGCAGCCTCAGTTCACACCGTAAGAGAGGCTTTCGCTGGTCTTTTCTCATTGCTGCTGTTTGAGACCAGGTCTTGCCAAGATCAGGCTGATCTTGGACTCACTGTGAGGCCAAGCAGACCTCAAACTCACAGCCACACTCCTGCCTCAGCCTTCCAAAACCCGGAATCGTGGGCATTCGCCACCGTGCTTGGCTTCCTGTCGTCATTTTTTTTAAAAACAATGAGGCAGGTAAGCCTGTAATCCTAGTACTGTAAGCCTGTAATCCTAGTAAGGCAGAGGATCACGAGTTCGAGGACAGCCTAAACCACATATCAAGATCCTGTCTCAAAACAAACAAACAAAACAAAAAACAATGAGGCAGCCAGGCATGGTGGCTCACACCTGTAATCCCAGACCGGGGAGGCTGAGGCAAGAGGATCACAAGTTCGAGGCCAGCCTGGGCTGTGTTGTAAGACCCCTCTCTCAGAAAGGACGCGGCCGATGATACGGCCCGCTCTGAAATGACCTCCCAGCTGTAGCACCGGACACAAAGCCGGAAAGCGCCTAGCAGCACCTGCCGGGCTTCTGTCCGCTTTACAGACCCGAAAGGCCAGCACACCTGGTCCCCGCTGAGCCGCTGGCTGTGGTTTTGGGCCCTGGCTTTGGGCTGCGGGAGGCTGCGTGCAGGCGGAGCTGAGTACACCCAGGGCGGGCAGCTGCATGCACCGGGCAGAGCCGGCCTCGCTCCCTCCTTCCCGCCACAGGCCCCGCTGGTCTTGCTGGGCTCTTCCCGGAGCCCCTCATCCCGGGGGGCCCG